CATGCAAAAAGAAAAAAGGCATGAAAAAACAATGCTTAACAAATCTTAAGACTTAATAAAAGAAATTTGATATTTTGCATATGAAAGTATTGTAATGTTTACTGATAATCTGCCAAATTTCATTAACATATGCTTACTAATTTAAAAGTTATAACATGAAAACTATAACAAGCCCAAAATGGTTACAAAGTCATTCCCAGGGACCAAGTCCGTGCTGAGAGTTAATTAGCTTGATGTTGTATCATGTTAACCACTAGGTTAGAGAAAAACTACAACTGTTTCTGTCATATTATTTTAAGGAACAAGTTTTGTTGTCTAAGTAACCTGAATTCTGACATAATTAACTTACAATTTTTTTAAAAGCCTTATATAATAGAAGTTTTATGCATTAATATATATACTAATGATAGAAAATTGGTAAAAAAATGTACATTACGGAATGAAGTTGAGGATGATTATAAATATTACAAATATCACACATTCTTATGCACTGCTATATTGATGTGATGTGTTCATTGGTTAAACTTTCAGTTTTCTATTTTAAATAGATAAATGCATTACTTAGAAAATGTGTGCTTATTTAATGCAGCACCTCTACTGGCACTAAATGATGATCATTATTATACACGTAAATCAGAGTTAATTAAAAACGATATTTTTAGCCATAATAGTTACTTGTGAGTACACAAAGCACTAAAGCTTTTATGGCTAGGTAGTAGCTCAACTAAATATTACTTTACTATTAAGCATTTGATGACAAATGCAAAATATGACTTTGTTAACAGTGTTTGGCAAGAGACCCACTTAGACTATTTAGACCTAGTACCCAGGCCAAAAGATAGATGTTCAAAAATACTGTTTTCATAAACATTTATAAAAATTTTATCTTCAACTGTTTATAGGAAATGGAAATATGAGTACAAAACACAGACAGAAGATTTGGGAATAGCAGTTGCCAAAAGGCTACTTGATGACTATTTAGACTTAGCAGCTGAACCAAATGAAAGTTTTCAAAATAAATATTGGAAATACACTTATGATATACATACAAGAGTCACTGACACAGTAATTACAACTAAATGGTCAATAGTACAATACAAGATTACAGACAAACAAGTTTACAGTGCATCAGTATTTTGTATTTGCTTCAAGCAGTGCAGTATAATTTTTATCTATACTACCATAAATATATCAGAACATGAAATTTCTAGTGGCTAATTGGTAAAAACCCAGTAGTTGTTAGTCCAGGAGTACAATTAAGCTATGCCACTTTTATGAAACTAAGCAAGTCAAGTAACAACTTTTATGCTAGGCAGGCATTCTGTATCAGGAACTATTTTTATAGTTATATCCTATACAAAGGACATTAATAAGAAAAATATTTAAATCTTAAGATGAAGGCACATACAATCTAACAATATTTTATTTACACCATGGGCCATTTCTCAAACTCTTGGATAACACGGAGTATAATATCCTAAGTTGTAAAATTTAATCTGAAATCTTAACTTGTTCACTTAAATATGTTTTGCTACAATTTTTGACATCTTTTCTGTATCTACCAATTAGGAGTATATATTTAATATATGGATACAACAGAAAAGCATTAATACAGAGAAAATTAAGTTAAAAATACAGCAGAAACACTCAATTACAAATTACGAATATGTAGCAAACTGATTGATCAATTATAGAAGTTTGTAGATTAAATGAATTATGGCTAATGATTTAAGCTTATATGGAAATGAGTTTTAAACTTGTGCAATTACAAAATAAAGACTAAAGCAACTTACATTTCAAAGGCTGATAATGAGTTTTCTTAAATAATTCATCTTCTCCTTTCTCGAGAAGCTGTTTAACAATCCTCATGTCAGTAATGTTTCTATTTTCTTCAAAACGTTGTCTCAGTAATACAGCATTGAAGCGGTAGGCTGGCCTGCAAAATTCAACACAGTTAATTTAACTGCCTGTTAGAAAATGCATTGAGGATACATGTTCAATATAGAAGTTTATCACAATACATTGTTTTTTCCAGCTTCCACCAATGATTGGTAGAAAAGACTTCTGTACAAACAGTACTAAACTACAGAAAACTATATTTGAGCTTCTGACTGCTGAGAAATTTCAGAAGGGCTTCAAAAATAAAAACTATTGGGTAGCTTTTTCGAGAATACTTCTTTAATTTAAGTGAGGAAAAGACATTTAGAATAGGACATGATTAAAAGACATTAGCAAGAAATAAGTGCATCTGAATGAAAAAGTACACTAACTACACATAGATTTATAAATACAGTGAGAAGTAAAATATTTATAAAAACCAATAGGTTTCATTAACTGTTCAAATTAAGTTTATTTAGCAGAAAGGGTAAGACTATAACACAGGGTGATAATTTCTTTGTTCTTGATAGATATTAGAATTATAAGATAAATACACATAGTTTAACTGGCACAGAATAAAAAACAAGCTTCTTTTGATTGGATGAAAACCAAGTCTTTGTACATCAATATTTTAGTCACAACATTTCAGACATTACTGGTGTTACCATCTTAGTGAAACAGAGATAAGGTCATACATGAACTGCAATGAAAAAATTAACTGTGAACCTTTAAAAGATGAATAAGGAGTTAATCTTTATTATTGTTTGTACTATTAAAAAAGGACAAAAGAATTCCTAACATGTCTACACGTATGTTTATAAAGCAAGAAATCCTTTAAAATTTATTCCTATTGAAGAGAGAGTTGTTTTGGATAAATATATCAAGAAAGAAAACTTGCGTGTCTGATGGTTTTTACCTAGGAATTTACAAGTATTTGGGCTAAGAGTTACTGGACACTAGGGAAATTTCAAAGAACAGAAGTAGCCTATAAAATGTACGCTGAAGAAAGAACTATATAATTACAGCTTTACTAGTTGTACTTCAGTTGTAAACACATACAATAATAACACCAAATGACAAGAGGTCAAGTACACATAACTACATTCTCATATAATCATTAAGATTATGAGCCAAACTGAATGTTGATTTAAGTTCATATGCCTAATAAATCAATTTTTGAATAAAGTTATTTGTTCAAAAACAATAGAGAAAGATTTCCACACTTTAAATTTATCCTTGATTTTTCGTTTATGTTTGGTTCTTTGTTTAAAATTAGTGTTTTTAATAGATATACTATGGTTTTTTTGAGTTGCAATGGTAGAAAACATGGGGTGGTTTTTTTATTGGAATCCATCTTAATTGAACAAAACAACCCTACTCTAAACCATCACCCTGGGGTGTCAAGACATCTCTTCTAAGTCTTGCAACAGTATTCAGTCATGTGACCTCTTTGTTCAATACTGTATATATATATATATATTGTGTCATTGTAAACTACTTGTACCTGATGATGACAAAACCTTGTTGTACATTTGCTGATATGTTAAACTTATATTAAAGTTTTTCTTCATTACCCATTCAAGCTGTCTCCAAGCATAATAAAGTATTCACTCACAAATATAAATCAATCACAAATATTTAAACCACACAGTGTTTTATATCATGGCAGTAGTTTTCTGGCTTGCTCTGATACATGGCCCATATTACAGCACATCTTGACTTGCTAAAATCTTTAGATAAGCTTCAATACCAAAGTGTATCTAAAAAAAGTTTGATTATCATAAGAAGACAGAAAATTGTTTTGTGGTAGAAATTAGAATTAAAGGAACTGTAATTCTTTATTAAGTTCAGAAGAATGTCACTAGTGGGGTTCCGCAAAGGTCTGTTTTACTTATTGTTTATTTCAATAATACTTTGGTGTTAGGTTATCCAAACAGAAAAAGCTGGATAATGCTGATACTGAATATTTCTGTGATAAAGGCTTGGGCAGTTTTCTAGGTGAGTAATTTGGAAGAATTGCTTTGACATCATAAAACATAAAGTAATCTGCTTAAAGAACCAAGAATTCAGAAATAACTTTTTTTTCAAGTGACAAGAAATGTGTTGTAAATAACAAGTTTTTTGTTGTTTCTTTTTTCACTAAAATACCAAATTTGTTAGTTGTTACTACAGCCTTTATTTTACTGATGAAGATGTAGAAGATGATCAATTTCTTTAACAGCAAAAAGGATTTTTTCTTTAATCCAATTTATGTTTAAGAAGTGTCTGTTTTAGAAAAGCTTGAGAAGCTTCTTTAGAATAAAGATCCTTGCATTGATAAGATGTATCTTGAAATTTTGAAGTAGTTTAATAGTAACATACATATACTTGGAACTTTAAGTGTTATTATGCAAAAGTTTGTTGGTATTAGAGAAATTCCTAATTGGAAAATTGCCAAAGATAAAGTACAGGGAGGATCCGAGAAGCCTATTAGCTAGTACGGATTTGTCAGTTACTGTCAGATGTACTTTGAAAAATTAGCATTTAATTAATGATTTTATAGAAGGACTTTCTTAGTTCACCAATGTGTTGATTTTTATAGGGTTTTAACCTTTAATTTTGATAAAGATATCCCAATTTATGATATTTGCTTCGACTTTCAAGAGTCTAGGTGAATCATGAGAAATTATTTACTGAGTTAGATGCCTATGGAATTGGTAGAAAAGTTTAGGAATGGAGTTGGAAAATAGATTTAACTGAAACTGCATGGGGTCTGTCCAATGGACTGTCCCTATATTAGAAAAGAAACCTTAACTATAATTCCAAATTCACAAAATGTGGCAAGCTTTTAGTCAACAGCACAAGTCCATTGTGCTAAAAAATCAGATATGTTATTGAAGTTTTGGTACTCAAGATATATCTGTAAAATGACAAAGTCAGTCTAACTCGAGCTCCGACAAATCAGATGATGTTTATGTGAAAAATAAAAATACTTTTATTCATTATACAGTTTCCAAATTGCATTTGCATAACCAACTAACAACATATAGAAAGTTTTTTTTTTCAGTATCCCTATATACTGCATTTGGTATTTTCTCTATTATAACATGAACTGTTGCAAAATCAGCAGTGATAACTGACACTAAATGCATAATACTGTGTTGAATGGCACTCTGTACATGGTTATGGCCTGCACACTTTGATCCCAACCAATGTATGTACGATTAAGGTAAGAACTTAGAGTGATAATAAAAATGTTTATTTTTTTTCTCTGAGGTAATGACACTTATGAGGTACATCATAGATATGTTCCACTACATTTGTTATTTAACATTCATGTTAATGATTTGGATTGCATTTTCAGTAGTAGCAATTTCAAGTTTGCTAACAACACTAAAATGCTGGGAAGAGCTAACTATACTTCAAATGTTTCTCTTGTACAAAAGGTTGTTAACAGTCTTAGTAAACAGCCAGTGTGTGGAAGATGAGTAGATTTTAAGAACATAACATTGAAGGGCAACATAGGACCTATTGGTCCATCTAGGCTGTTCCATCCACAAAACTAAGAAAATTAAGAAAAAAAATCTGAAAGCCAGCCTGAATTATTTGAATATTTATAAAGCCTCAGATTTACTGCTTTCACCACATCTGAAGCAAACTCATTTCAAAGATTATGAAACTGAAGTATGTAATTTAAGAACTTAAAGTGCTTCTTGTGTAAAAAAAACAAAACAATAGTGTTATGTTGAAAATAAAGGATTTGGACATAATAAAACCCTAGAGCCTTTTGTTGAGCACTTAGCTGTATTTAAAAAAACAAATTGAATTCTCAGCCTTAATTTTATACATTTTGGATATATGAATGGGAAGTTTATTGTAACATTGTACAGAACTCTGATAAGACTTCATTGGAATGGTGTGATCCCCTAACAACAGTACAGTAAAGATATCAATATGCAAAAAGAGTGAAAAGAATTGGTTTTCACTTTTTTTTGTTCACAGACCACCTCAATCTTTCTCATGTCTCAGTGGACCACAATGGAATCTATACACTATACTACTGCTTCATTTCTGTAATAATGCATAAACTCCACTGATCACTTGAAGGGAGCCCATGAATGCAAAGCGAGAACCACTGTACTAGAGTGATTCTGGTATATCATTTTTAAATTTTGAGGCTAGGATTTATTTTCTCTAGAGTGCAAAGGAATTGTGGAGTGACTTAATTAAAGATTTAAAACTTCATGAGTAGGTTAGTTCTCGTACAGGCTAATTGGTCGAATTTTTGTTTGTTTGTTTTGAATTTTGCACAAAGCTACACGAGGGCT